GAAGCAAAAGCCTTCTTTTGCTCCTTGCGCCATTGGACCATGAACTTCTCCGCTCCCTCCACCACCCCTTTGTACCATGGCACACCTTTTCCAGCCCTCGCTGCGATAAGCCAGCAGCCACGCGGTATTCCGAATGTCCCCAGGTCGTCCGCCGTGGATTCGGCATTGGCACCGAACCCTACGAAGTCGTCCTTCAAACATAACACCCAATTCTTTTTCGGACGCCCGCTGTCTGGGGCCTTCCCCCCCACGATATCTCCGAACAGCAAACGCTTCGGGAGTTGCCCGTCCGGTTGTCTAGCCAATACTCCAGCATGCAGTAGTCGCCTTTTTCGAACAGTAGCCTCCACGATTTGGCATCAGACCTTTTTCAGGGCTTGGGCGTACGAGAGCTGCCGATATCGGCCGCGCCTGCGTGTTTTAATTAAAGCGTCTGTGAGTGTCTGTCTTCATTTTTAGCAGCATCGACCGCGCCTACCGGCTGACCAACGAAAACATGTCAGTCTCAGTGCGTTGGAAAACCGAAAATGAACGTTGTTACTCAAGGCCATATGATTTGGGACCTCGTGAAGGGATGCCATGGGGGAGGCCAAGCTATTCTCCGCATTAAACGCAGAAGCGGTGTGCATAGCAACAGACATTCCTACCAAGGCTGCCACTTGCACACGTGTTCGTTTCAGCTTTCATGATTTTCCTGTGTTTACCACTATTATGTGCTCTCGTCCAAGGGTACGCGAAAAACAAATTCCTGGACCCACACCAATCTCCCACGCTTACAGTTTTGCTAAACCACCCATGCGACACCCATGGGTCACCCATGGGCATGCCCATGGGCGGTCCATGAAGTGCCTATGAAGTGCCCACCGTGGGCACTGCAACCTAGGACTTCGCCACCGGCATATCAACCAAGAACTTAGCCACCAGCGCAAACCTAGCACGTATCGTGTGGGCTCGGGGTTAGGGTTGAAGTTAGCGTCAGGGTTATTAGCCGCTATAATGCCCGTTCCAGAGCAAATAATCTATTGTTTAGGATTACACTGGTTCGGTTGAAGGGCTCTCATTGGCCGCCCCATGGACTTCCCATGGGTTGCCCATGAGCATGTCCATGGGCATGCCCATGGGTCAACCATGGGTAAATCATGGACAACAAAGTGCCCATGGGCGGCCCATGGGTGACCCATGGGTGACCCATGGGCTGCCCATGGTTTCATGGGTGTCCTCTCGGCGTTTTGGCAAAACTTGATGTACACAGAGCAAAAACCAGTGCCAATTACACATGGTACTTATTGCTTAAGTTATCTTTATGTGCTCGGCGCGTAGGGACCCCCCGTGTTCGGCGCGTAGGGACCCCCCGTGTCTAGTCAAGGTAAGCAGTAATTGGTGCTGAAAAGAGACAATATTCCGGAGTACATACAGTGTAAGACCGCAAATCGTCTGGGGGTTGCTTGTTGTTTCTAAGCAGTTACTGCCCCCGTTCTCTGGGGCCACGTACGCGATGAATGAATGCATGCATCTGTACGTTGTTACCGGGGGGGCGTGTGACCAGCTCATTCTCTCGCACATTGAACCCCCGCGGTAGATGCGGGAGGCCGTCGTCGTCGCAGATCACCTTTCGGTACATGTAGGTACACTCAACATACTCAAGATACGACCCCCTATACCATTGATGTTACACCAGGTATGATGAATCCTCTATTATCTATTTTACACCCATCCCCGGTGGATCATCTTTCTGCTGATAGGGTTATTCTGCGTGAGTGACCGTTCGTTGTGGTGTAGTGCTGGTGTGGCAGAACTACGTGTTTGTGCGTTAAAGTGTATTGGGTATGTGCGGTCTAAATCCTATACAATCCAGAGGGATGTACGACTTAGTATATGCAGAATATATCCTATACAATAAAATTAAGTGCGTTGTACTATTGCCATTCTAAATCATACCATTATAGACCCCCCCCCCCCCCCCCCCCCCCCCACCCTCCCCCCCCCCCCCCCCC